AGTAAAGTTACAAGTATTGCATTACCTTTCCCGAACTGCCTCAGAGAAGGGTATAGTTTCTTGACAACATCTAACAGAAGCATACTTCCCTCTTGGACATCGCATATACCCGTAAGGGATTCCCTGTGCCATGTCATCGTTATAGTGTGAAAATTAAGAAGGCTTTCACCTATAACACTGGTATATTTGTGAGTAGTCTATTGTTCTGGTTACAATTTCTTTTGCTTGGAGCCTACATGCTTTCTTCAAGAGGTTCTTCCACTATGTTAATTTCTTTTTCAAATTCTAGTTCAATGACTTCTTGTTCTTACTTTTCTCTTTGTTTTTCTACATTTCTTTTTTAATTGGGCAAGTTCTCTTGTTTTCATTGAATTTGCTTTACTTCTATCTTGTTGTTGTTATTGATACTTACCTTTGTTGCCTCTTCTTTCTGTACTATCTTGTTGGTTCTTGGGCCCTTGCTTCATGTTGATTCTTTTTTTTTGGTTTCTCATTTGATGTTTGGTCTTGTTCTGTCTTTTGTGTCTTTTCAATTCTTGCAGTTTGGTTACATTTCTCCTTAAGTTTGTCTTGACCTTGTTCTGGATGGGTTCTACTATCATTGCATAATTGCTTTGCTCTACTAAACTTAATTTCCTTTCTGGTTGCTCTTTCTCTGCTCTATCTACTAATTCTCTTATTAATCTTAATAGAGTAACTTCTTCTAAATTTTGATTTGTTAATATAACAATGATTTCATCTTCTCTGTTAGGCAATACATATGTTTTACCTGCTTGTTTAATAAACACACCATTTTGTATACTATGCTCTATTGATATACATTGTTATTAGACTACTGTTACATCTTTTAGTTATATTCATATTTCTATCTATATTAAGCATGTGTTTGTTTTGCTTGTCCTACACATGGTTGAGTTGCTTGTTTGTTTATATTCTTGTGACCAAAACAGATCTGCAATATCAGATTAGTGCCAATTTCCCAAAATATAACAATTTTTCAAATTTTTGAATGTTTTTTCAAGAAATTTTTAGTTTTCTTTGTCTTTTCTATGTTGTATCTCTTGTGTTTGTTTATTTCTTCTCTTTTTTATACCTTTCTTGAATGCTTTTTCTTTTTACTTAGTCCTATCAAGGTAGTTTAGAAGGCCACTTTTGCATAAAATTGGTTTTCCTTTTTGGTTAATTTTGTGTTTAAATGATTAGTGACTATTTGAATATAAAATTAGATATTTGTTAAAATTGTATTTAATATTTTTGCTATTGTTTTAGTCAAAAATTTTCTTGTATATTTGATTAAAATAATTAGACATATTTTATTAAAATTTTCAAAAAACTTTAATTTTTTAAATATAAGATAAATGTTACTTTGTTTCTATATTTTAAAAATTATTTTAAATATAAGCTATGCATTAAATATTTTTAGTAATAGGTTCAGAGTGTATATGTCTAAATGCTTTAGTATCTTATTGAATATCTGTTATAGTCTAGTAGTTTTATCATTTGATGATTCTGTAGATTAGTTTGCAATTCTTGTATTGTTATAGGTTTTGATATTGTGTTATATTAAAACTTATTTATTTTTTTATATAGTTAATATTTTTTTTGCTATTTTGTTTAATAACTATTATTTGTAGAATTTTTTTTGTTTATATCTTAAAATGTTTTTTTGATTTCCTATAGCTTTGTTGTAATTTTGTTAGAATGTATAATATTATTAAGTACAACTAGGTCTATATGCTTTTGTAATATGCTATTGATCATCTTTATAATATTGATCATAAAGTTGTTATATTGCTTTATTATATTGTTTTTAATTTTTTTTTTGTAGTCTAAGTTATTTTCTATTTTTTATTTTTTTTTATATTAAAATTCTTATCTTTGAAATGTAACATTTTTATTCAAGTATATAGGACACACATGCCACCAGGAACTACCTTACATTGGAGGTTACAACTAGTCACATGTGTACCTTTGGTACCCAATTTAAGTAATCTGGTTATACATTACTATATAAGTTTTATACTAGATGTCATATCTGCAAGCCAATTAGAGGTTTTGCTTATTTAAACCTTTTGCATATGCAATCCTTCTTGTATCACAAGAATATCTTCAAAACTATACCCATCCAAGTTCCTGATGCTGATCAGTATCCTTAGGAATACTTTATTCTTAACAGGAAACTTACTAGAACCTTTATGTCTCATACATACTAACCTAGTTTTATGCAACATGCTATAATTACCTAACACTTACAATTACAAAGGTTTTCTAAAATACTTTGTCACTTACTGAATTACTTTAATGCTTTATAGAGCAGAAGTTACAGTTTTTTAATTTTTATACATATTACAGTTTCTGCAAATTTGTACTAATTACTAAGATTTTATTCTTGCAACAGCAAGTTATTATTTAATTAGAAACTATTTAAAGTGAAATTGAGGTTAGTTATTTTTTTTAATGATTTATATACGTATAGAAAGAAATTTCATAAAATATATAAAATATAATAAATCATTTAGAACTAGATGTATTAGAAAACAATTATCGCCGGTGACGATACCACTAGTGTTGCTTGCTGCAAATATGAATTGCGACTTTTTTATAGCGCAACTAGGGTTGCAACTTATTGTCGCAATAGATGCGACCATTTTAATCTAATAAATTATGATTTTTTTGTAATAGTTAGAACATAAATAAACTGTAAAGTTTAAGTTGCGACTTTGCAGCAACTCTACATACCACCACCTCTTATTTCTTTTATCAAATTTAGAGATAGGGTGCAATTTTAGATCAAGGTTAAGGTTAGGTATAAAGGTCCAAATCTTTGTTATGGTTAGGTTTTTTGGGTCATGAACATTTTTACTTAGTACCTTCGACATGTGTTAGCTAGTAGATTTTTGAGATATAGTATCCCGGCGATATCACAACTGGAGATAAATAGCAATATTCTTTAGAAAATATTTTATAATATACATAAATTGAGATAACCTACCATTATCAATACAGATATCGATATGGCAGATCAAGAGATGGTTCAAAATTTTGTCTACGTAAGCAAATAACCTGATCCATATGCACACTTATCTTGATTGCATCACGATATCGATATTTTAATTCACATTTCTTCTCTTTAAATTGTTAAGAATAAATGTTATCAATAATATTTAACCGCTCGTTTGTCACAAACTCTAAAGTACAAAAGGTTGTGATTATTGGAGGAACAGGGTTTATTGGTAGTACTTTTATTTTTATATTATTATTATTAATTATTAAAAATAATAATAATAATAATAAATGATATAAAAATAATAAATTTGAGAATTTCTTAATTACGATAATCGATAGGAAAATATGTCGCAAAAGCGTTTGCTCAAGATGCTAACACTTTAGTTCTGATGGGCGCACGACATCCAAAAATTGAAGAATTAAAGTTGTCTGGTAATTATAATGCCACAACATAATCTATTTTTTTTTTATAAATTATATACATTTTATATAAATTTTTCTAAAAGACAACCAAGTCCTTCCGCTTATGAAATGTGATATAACTTCTCAAGACGAAATTCTAAAAACGTGTGAAGGCGCCAGTATAATTGTAAATTTAGTCGGGATAATGTATGAAAATCCTCCAATATATACTTTTGAAAACGTTCAGCACTTGGGCGCAAAAAATGTTGCGATAGCTGCTAAGCAGAATGATGCACAATTAGTCCATATTAGCGCTATTGGTGCAGATCCTAGTAGCGAGGTTCCTTATGCTAGAACTAAAGGTTAGAGATGTAGTTTGGATTGAAAATTTATAATCAGCATACGTATTAAATTTTTTCAACTAAGGGTTGGGTGAGATTGCAATTCATGAAATATATCCAAAAGCAACTATTATAAGACCAAGCATTGTTTTTGGACCTGAAGACGATTTCTTTAATGTACAGTTATAATGGTTGCATATATTATTTACATGTTACATAATTGTTTCTGTTAATTAACTTTCTCCATTTATATATAATTAACAGAGATTCTCAAAATTAGCTAGAGTATTACCATTCATACCAGTTTTTGGTGGTGGGTCTACAAAGTTTCAACCTGTTTATGTATGGGATTTGGCAACGGCTGTTGCTAAAGCAAGCAATCAATCTCTCAAGTTTCAAGAAAAAATCTTTGAAATTGGTGGGCCAAAGGGTAATAAAGAATCAAATATAAAATAATGTCATTAAATATGTCTTTATACATTGCTCAAAAGTTCTATCTTAATAAATTAGTGTATACATACAAAGAACTCATGCAACTAACACTATCCGAAGAAGGGCTAAAACGTCCAATTATCTCTCTACCATGGCAAATTGGGCTTATACAAGGTTATTTTCTTGAAAAGCTACCAAAGAATTTGTTTACTATCACACGTGATCAAATCAAATTGCTTAAGAAAGATAACGTTGTCTCGAATGTGGAAGGGATTTTGAACTTAAAAGATTTGGGGATTGAACCTACTCCAGCTGAGAAGGGAATGTTAAAATATTTTATTTTATTTTATTTTTATTTTTGTTTTCTATGTTAACCATATTAATACCTCGAACTTTACTCGAATAACCAGGTACTACGCACATACCTTCGTTCATAACAACATACAAATCCATAAATGTTATCTAATAACTAAGATATATTGCATAGTATAAGTAAAAACTTTCTATTACATTAAAATATCAGGTTTTATATGAAAAATATCTATTATTAAACTCATAACGAAGGTTTCTTAATTGAATTTTTTTTTTGTAAACTGGTGTTAATACTGTATTGAATTTTTTTATTTGATATACAAACTGGTATTATAAACCTATGAGTAAAGTAAATACTGTAAGTACTTCCGCTTAGGGGTGGTAAAAATCATTTCTCACTGATTTAAATCATGCGATGATTATAACCTGGATATTCTGAGATTTAAAATTTAATATATCCAGATCATAATCATCACATGTTTTAAATCGATTTTTTACCATCCCAAAGTCTAAAATAAAATTCTTTATATCACGGAATGAGAATAGTTAATCCTACAGTTTTTGCTCACGTATTAGTATCATTAAAGCCCGTATTCGATTATCTAAAGAACTCTGTTTTTAGACTTCCTGGTTTTCAATTGGCAGCACCCAAATAGTTCTCGTAAATATGACTTTTTTATACACAAAGGGAATTTCAAATTGAATTTTTGTTATACTAGAGGCATGCTATTAGTGACATACCCATGACTAAAGATTGTACCTATTGATAAACTTACTGCCCGAGTATTATTAAATTGCCGTGTTGTTTGATAAAGCCATTATATATTTTAGTAATATGCATTTTAACATTAAAATATGCTTCCCGACTTTTATTTAGTGAAAAGGAGCTGTAATAATTAGTTCAAAGTAGGTGGGAATTTTTTCTTTAGCATTGGAAGCACCTTAGCATAGAGCAAGTTTGATTTTATTGGTTAAAAAAAAACAATCGATGTTTATGTTGGTCAACTATAATTTTACAATAATCGTAATAAGTAAATTTGATTTGTCATAAGAAAAACATTTTTTTTATTATGAAAAAAAAGAACGTGTACATCTAAGACTTACACTTCTTTGTCGTTTAATAAAATAAGATTCAAATAGATTCAGTAAGTAGAGAATTTAAATGAGAGGTCAATATTATAGGTATTGAATACTTGAAACTCTAAAATAGTGATAGTTTATTGAACTTTTATCACTAAAAGCTTGATATACAGTATTACCAAGTACTAACTTGGTTAATTGCTTTTAAAAAAGTTACATATGTATCTTGGGTTTTATTTAGGTCTACCTCTTTTACTGTATTATTGTTATTGTTTTTATTTAAAGTCTTTTTAAGATTCTTCTTCTCTTTGGTAGTAAGTACATTTGGATCTTTTTTTAATCTTTTTAAAAAAGATTTAACATTATTATAAACTTCACATTTATAATATTTTTTACAATAACAGCAACTATATTTCATGATTTGATAATATTTCAATTGGTACTTGTGCTTACAAACTACTATCATCAAGTTTTTTTAATAATAATTACAAGTGTCTAATAATAGAAATATAATACTATATGTTGTAAGAAGACATTATAAATTGATTGTTTTTTTTAGAGTTATTAATTTATATTTATTTTTGTTAATAGATTTATTTTTTTTACAATTTCTGAAAACTTTATAAAAGTATCTTAATAAATACAAAGTTGTTTTTTTTGTTGAAAAGTTTAAAGTTAGTGGCTTATATAGATACTGTTTAGTTTTTTCAAATGTATTTTTAAGTTTGTTGTAATCTTGTAAATTTAAACATGATTAATAAAATTATATATTCTATACTAGAATCTTACTATATAAATCTTACTATATAATATAAATAATAAGTTAGTATTATGCCAAACAAAATTGAAACTTGCCAATAACATAAATCTGTCTAATAATATTATTAGCATTACTATTTGTGAATGTATGAGGTTATATTTTACTACATATATTTTTAATATAATAATCATTAAAATATACTAAAAATAATTTAATAACTTTGGTAAATAGATAATTAGTATCTTGCTAATAAAATATATCAAAAAAAATATTAACAATGTTTTATTATAATTTTACTATTTTTATTTAAAAGCAAATATTTAAATTCTAAAAATAGTCTTTACATATTTATTGAAGAAATCAGATTGAAAAAGAATAATATAAATATTTAATGTTATTAGAATTATGTTATTTAACAAATTAATAACTATACAATACTTTATATTCTTATAGTTTTAATTTTTTTTTATTATATTTCTTATTTTATACTTTTATTATAGATCAAATAAAAGAGCAAGTTTACTTTTTTTTTATAAACAGAGTGAAATAACTTATTAAAACATAAATAATAAATTATTAATACTTATTCTTTATTATTTAAAGAAATATAAAAAGGTTCTATAATAAAAATAAAAAAATTTAATTCAGTTATATAAAATATAATAAATTTGAATTATTTAAATTTATTATTATTTTATAAATAAACAATTGTTAGAGTCAGTCTGTTATAATTAATGCAATTCTATTAGTTAAGTATTAAAGATCTTTATTAATATTCAAGATTATTTGAAGCATTATTATATAATTATTTATAAAATATAAACTTTTTTTTAAATATCAAATTAATTTTTTTTTTTTATTATTTAATTTTTTTTAACAATTCTATTATTATAACTATAAAATATTAGTAAGTCTTTTAATTAAAATAATTAAAATCTAATTTTTTGTTACTTAGCCATTGCTATTTGTAATTAGTATAAATAATATTAAATATTTTGTAATATATATTAATTAGCTTAAAACAAATATTATTTGTATAAATATTCTATTAAAAATAAAAAGAATTAGTATATAAATTAGAACTTGTTGTGGGTATGATGACCTAGTAAAATGATTAGGTTGTTAACCTCCAAGTGGCAGGTTCAGAGTTCAAATCCTAGTGTTAACAGAAAATTTGAATATTCTCTCTGTGTTACAGTTAACTGTCTCTCACAATTGGTTAGGATAAGATATCTGTTATCTGTATCATACTAGTATAACTGGCAGGTTATATAGTATTTGTATAACAATTATATAACATTGTTCTTTGAAACAAGATCTGTAGTTATATAAAAGAATACAAACTAGTACTGGATAATACAAACCTACAATAATTCTTTGTAGTTATGTAAATTATAAGAACCAAATAAAAGAAGACAGAAGCCTACTTGGAAGACCCAAGTAGAAAGGTAACTTGAACTTTCAACAGTGCTACTATAAAGACTAGACTTATGAAACAGAGCTAGAACTTGTGAAACTGTGCAAATATGTCAGTCTTTGAGGAGAGACTAGATAAATCAACTAGGCCATCAGAATTTTCAGATTTCAGAAAAAAAAAATACATACTAGCAAACATATAAACTAGAGATGTATAGTTTTAATCTATCTTTTTAGGCTATCTGGAATAGCAGATTAGTAGAACTTAAATTGAATACCAAAGTAATAAGAATATATTGTGAAGTCAGTATCAAAGTTAAGATAAACTCTACAAGAGCATAGCAGTTTAATAATACGTCTTAACTGTCAGTATTGATTTTGGTTATAGCAATACTGAGTTAGCTATAAAAATGTGATATAAAAGATTTTAAAAAATTTAGTACAAGGTCAAAGGTTTTAATGAACTGCTTTAAAGACTTAGTAGCTATGATATATTTTTATCAGCATCAGCCTAGATCATTGGTAAGCAGAAGTAAATGGGTGAATATAGAAACTAAAGTGGTTAAATAGAGAATCTACAAGCAAGTTTCAGATATGATAGCTAGTATAGAACCTTTGGGTAGACTACTTAAATTAGACAATGACTAAAGTTGTATAAGTAGCTAGTTGTATACTTTTTCTATAGTTGTCTCTTGTGGTTGTAATGCAACTATTAGTCAAATATACTATCAATAAAATCCTGAGTCACAAGTACTTATCTTAATATTTAAAAAAAAAAATTGGAACTTGTTTATAAATACAAGTGACTATATATTTGGTATTATATAAGATTAATATATTTAGTTTTTTTTTTATAAATATTATAATAATTATTCAAATTATAAATATATAAAAAATAAAAAATAATAATTTTAGTAAAATAGTTAGATTATTATTCTCTAAGTAACAGGTCTAGTATTAAAATCTACTAGTAGCAAAATTTTAAAAAATAATTCTATTTTATTAACTTATCTATGTTGTATTATTTGTAAATTCTATTATTCTAATTATATTAAAACTAATTTTAAAAGTATGCAATAGTATATAAATAAATTTAGAAAGTATATATTCAGATAAAAAGTTTGCTTAGAAATTTTAAATAAAGAAATAGTATAACTTGTAATAATATCATCTATAAAGATTTTAGTCTAAAAAAAAACCTATAACAAATAACCTGCACAAACAAAAACTCTAAATAAAAGTTCACTAATTTAATTATTAATTAATTTTTTATTTTGGTATTAAGATAAGGCCTTGCTTATATCTTTATTAATAATTTTAACTATATATTTTAGTACAAAATACTAAAATAAACTAAGATTGTTTGTAACAAATAAAAATTACATGCAAAATAAGAGCTTAAACTAGTTTATTTATAACCTAAACTGATTATAATGATCAAAACCTATTTAGATTTGAAGTGTTAGTATATAGTTAAAAGAAATATTATATTTAATTTAAAAAATTGAACAAATATTAAGTTTTCTAATTGCTTGACCAATTGGTGAATATATATTGGATTGTAGATAAAATTGATCTGTAATGTCATATAGACTTAATAATGTTATTTGAAGGCTCTATAGTATTAAAGTCATATATCAGTATGACTAATATTGTTTTAATATTAAATGGAATTTGGTTATGTTTTTTTAATTGAAGAATTTAATATAGTATAGTTTTCAAATTAGTTTGTAAATTTGTTCATTAATATGTAAATATATTTGCTAATTGTAAAATTGATTGTAAAGATATATTAAAGTTATAAATAATTTCAATAAGTAAATTAGATATAAGTTCTTTAAGTGTAATATCTGTAAAATATAGATTGTATTAAAATAGTATATAATTAAAGCATAGGTGATATCATATTTTAAAAATTAATTCTTAAAGTTGAGAGAGTAATAGGTTTAGTTCAATCTTAGAAAGTATTTGGTTAACAGATATGTAGATAATATTAAAGAGAATGTTATATATATTGAAGTATGTATATTAATATGTAAATGAATTAGAAAGATTGTACTTGAAGCAATTTGTATTAATAAAAATAAAAGGATATCTGTTATAAAGAAAAAATTAAGTAGGTAGCTTATTTAGTAGAAATTTAGTTTTAAAACTTTGAATTGATTAAGTTTAAACTTGTATAAGAAGATATAGCTTTTTGGTTATAGTTAATATAAAGTCAAAAGAAGGTTCAGTTTATAAGATAATTTAGATAATTCATTTATTATTTTTTTTTATAAAGATTATATTGTTAATATGTATGCTTTGTATATATTCTTAATAAAATGTCTAGTTGTAATTTGATAAAGTTTTGTTCTCATTGTAGAATATAATAAAAGTTATAGATATTAGTATAATTAAAGATAAAATGTTGAAGAAGTATATGCTATTTTGCTAAAAAGTTTGTAAGATTATTAAAAGAATTATCAGTATAGGCTTAAACTTTGTGAAAAATAATTTAAAAGTTAATAAAATTAAGTAAAATATGCATGTACTAAATTTAAATAACTTGTTAGAATTTTGTAATTGGTTCAATATTATGTAAAATTTTAAAATAATAAATTGTAAATCTGTATAGATGTTAATAAATAAGTTATAAAATATAGTAGATATTGCAGATAGAATTAAAAATAATTTAGCTTTGTAAGATAATAACTATAAACAAATTTGAACTAAAAATTTATAGATAATTTGATTATGTTCATTGATTTGAATTTATCTAATATTTATAAAACATTATTCTGATCCAATATTAATAACAGAACCATTAATATAATAGGTAAAGTTATTATTTGTAAGTGTAACTATTTAGTTAAAAAAATTTTAAAAGTGTAATGCCTTAGTGAAGTGAATAAGTTGACAACTCTTAAGTAGTAGATTGTAAGTTCAAAACTTACTAATAACAAAAATTTAAATAATCATCTATGTAATACATAGACAGTATTATGGTGATGGCATTTTGTCGATCAGTTAAAATAAGATATCCGTAACTATAATCACATCAGCATAACTAGTAGATTACAAAGCATTCATGTAATTTTGGTTATATAGAGAAATGCAAAATAGTATTGAGCAGTACAAAACTAAGATAAGCTTTTGTAGTTATGTAAATCTGTAGAACAGAAAAACCAAAGCCTACTTGGAAATACTAAGTAGAAGGTAGCATAAATCTTTGATAGTACTACTGTAAAGACTAGATCTAGAAAACAGATACCAATGTAAAGAAATTAGGCAAGCAAAAACCTTAAGTAAAGGGTATTATCAACTAAACTACCAGATTTCAGACTAGGTAAAAAGAATATTAAGCCAGCTTTGATATACTAAGGATAGATAATAGTTCTTTTGAACTATCTAAATTGAGAGTCTAAGAACAAAAACAGAGGTATACTAAAAGTACTAGAAATATACTATAAAGTTAGTACTAAAATCTGAGTAAACTTTGCAAAGGTAGTTCTTGTTAATATTTCATAAAATGTATGATTTATTAACAAAAAAGGCCTTCTGTATCTTACTGGCAGGTGTTATACTTTGAAATATGTAATGGCCTAGAAATCAGTACAAAAAGGATAGATACCATACTGCTCAGACAGTATATTAGTTAGATATATACAAGAGGTATAGTGATGTTACATCATGACCAAGTAAATAATCAGAGAATTTAAATAAATAATCTCCTAATAGGTTATAGATATGATATTTAGTATAGAACCTTAGAATGGACTACCTAAATAGGCAACCAAAAGTTGCATATATGACTAATTATACTCTTATTTCTGTATAAAATAGTTGCAATAACTAATTTAATAAAAAGTCAATAAAGCTCTGCTATAAAGTATAGCCTTTAATACAAAAAAAAATTCCAAAATACTAAAGTTGTATATAATAATATTAGGAAGTATAGAAGATATATATAAAAGGTGTTTAATAGTTGTTGAATATATGAGATTAATATAATTGGCATTAAGTTTAAGATTGTTAAAAGTTTTTCTAGCTAGAAATATTGAGAAGATAATTGCAAATATATTAATAGTACATATTTGGTTAATTTTATTTGAGTTAAAATGGCATTCTATATATAATTTGTATTTAATAAAT